TCTAATGTAATGGTGGGGACGATCTTGAACATGTTCGCAGACTGCAGACTTCCCGGAGCGTCGGTGCTTCACATCAGCTATATGTTCCTTCACGCGGGTTTTTATAGATCTCTTTGTTTGACCTATGTAAGAGAGACCACATTCACAATCTAGCTTGTACACACCTGCATCTTGTAGAGGAATATTACATTTGATGGATGGTAAAAATTGACTAATCTTCTTCAGCGGCTTGTAGTATGTCTTAATGGACGCTCGCTTCAAGATGTAGCCAATCTTGTCCGTGACTCCTCCAACATATGGTAGTAGAGCAGGTGCGCGCTCGACTGTTGCCGGCTTCACTCGTTCACTGTGACGTAGGCGCGGGACCCGAAGCTTGTTGTCTTGCAATACTTGCTTGACGTGCTGAAGCTCCGCGGCCAGATGTTTTCTGTCACAGATCCCTCGTGCTCTCTGAAACAAAGATTTACCCACGGTAGCTAACTGTGAAGGATGATGGTGAGATTCACCATTTAGATATCGGTTGGTATGGGTCTTTTCCTATACACAGTGTGACCAATAGTGTTATCAGGATTTCGGTTGACTAAAACATCTAGGAAAGCTAAAGAATTATTTGCCTCTAACTCCATTAAAATACAATTCACAATGGAGTTAGAGGCAAATAATTCTTTAGCTTTCCTAGATGTTTTAGTCATCCGAAATCCTGATAACACTATTGGTCACACTGTGTATAGGAAAAAGACCCATACCAACCGATATCTAAATGGTGAATCTCACCATCATCCTTCACAGTGACTCCTCCACTCAATCAAAAAAATACAATTCACAATGGAGTTAGAGGCAAATAATTCTTTAGCTTTCCTAGATGTTTTAGTCATCCGAAATCCTGATAACACTATTGGTCACACTGTGTATAGGAAAAAGACCCATACCAACCGATATCTAAATGGTGAATCTCACCATCATCCTTCACAGTTAGCTACCGTGGGTAAATCTTTGTTTCAGAGAGCACGAGGGATCTGTGACAGAAAACATCTGGCCGCGGAGCTTCAGCACGTCAAGCAAGTATTGCAAGACAACAAGCTTCGGGTCCCGCGCCTACGTCACAGTGAACGAGTGAAGCCGGCAACAGTCGAGCGCGCACCTGCTCTACTACCATATGTTGGAGGAGTCACGGACAAGATTGGCTACATCTTGAAGCGAGCGTCCATTAAGACATACTACAAGCCGCTGAAGAAGATTAGTCAATTTTTACCATCCATCAAATGTAATATTCCTCTACAAGATGCAGGTGTGTACAAGCTAGATTGTGAATGTGGTCTCTCTTACATAGGTCAAACAAAGAGATCTATAAAAACCCGCGTGAAGGAACATATAGCTGATGTGAAGCACCGACGCTCCGGGAAGTCTGCAGTCTGCGAACATGTTCAAGATCGTCCCCACCATTACATTAGATTTGATAAACCACAAATTCTCGCAAAAGAACACCGATTCCTACCAAGGATGATACGCGAGGCTATTGAAATTAAAAAACATCCAAATTTCAATAGAGAAGATGGTTGGGTGCTACCATCTGCTTGGGATCCTATAATCAACAAAATTAAACCCAAACCCAAGCATACCACTGCAAGACTTCATGATACTATAAGCTCGTTTCGCGTAAATCGGACCAAAAATTAATATTAAAAAACTGAAGGTAGCCGGACTAACTATGACATTGGGACGTCAAACATCTCAGTCCCCCCCGTGACCATGGGCGCTGTAAAGCACCCGAAACGTCGGGATAATAATAAAAATAAATTAAAGTAATTAAACGCGATAAAATCCGTAAATAATAGTTTTATTCAATACCCGAATGTAACCAAATACTATAGAAAACATACGGTATAATATGTGCAGCTCCACTCAAAAGTTGGCAATCATGCACACTAGCGCCTCTAGTAGCATGAGTTGTTGAATTTAGTTTATAGCCTTGTAAATAGTCGCGCGGTTAACATTGTTTGCCTTTGCATTATTTTACTAATTACATAAGTAATTAATAATGTGGTTCAATTTGTGCTGCATATGGTTGCAACAATTATAAACAACAAAAAGACCCAAAATCACTAGAATACCCAAAGTTTTGGAGAGGTTAGTTGTATGTGATTATGTTAAACAAATGTGATAGTAGGCTTGTAATACTTCGTTTGTTGTACCTATTAATAAATTTCCTTTTAGATTGAAGCAATGGATTGCGGCTTGGCAAAGAACTGACCTGGACAATTGGATGAAAATTGAAGATGCTGATTATTTTTCCAACAATTATGTTGTTTGTTCAGATCATTTTGATGAAGAATGTTTTCGAAATAAAGATTTATATAGCCAGGAGTAAGTTATCTATATTTAGATGGTATAATATATATTATAATGTATATATTATTTATGAATGTGTTTTTTCCATACTAATATGTGCAGATGTACCTATAAAAGTATCATTTTTTAGGTTAAAGCCAGGTTGAGTACCAACCTTGAAGTTGTATAATAAGAAAAATATAATAAAGAGAAGATGTCTACGTGAAATAAATTTAGACTATTCAATAAAGTATACCTTTCTGTCTTACATACCTAAATTTTAACATTTTCATTACTATGTTTGTAAGGATTTAGTAAGAAGAAGAAACTACATAGTATGTGTGCCCTTTTTGTTGCAGTTCTAAACAGATCAAATTGAACTCAGTAGACCAGATATTGGAGACCCAAGAACAACATGAAAGCATTATACCTAATGTTGCAAATTTGCAGACAGAAATGCTGTTTGCATCTTGATAAAGATAATTATAAGAAAAGAGTAAATAATAACTCTAGTTTATTATCAAAATATAAGAAAAAATTTAAAAGTTTGAGCTCTAGCTGTGTGTAAAAATAAGTGAATTTCTTTTGAGCAAATCAAGCATGAAAACACAAGTGTTACTGTCTCAAAAACAAAGTTTTAACAAAACACATTATCCTGTTAGTATTTCTGAAAAGAATTCACAATAGGTACTATGTTTTAGATTGGGTATGTAGTTTACCGCCACATGATAAATGTAAAAAATTTGTGTGTAACCTAGATAATGATTATAGTTTAGAAAATACACAAATAGGGAATGTCAAGAGAGTTTCAGACATTATCAACAAAATGTTCAAAGAAAATATAGACAATTATTTAAAAATTTCTGTAAACAATTTTAAAGGTAGATTAGTTTTAAATGTACCTATATGCACACACACAAATAAATATTTCTGAATGTAAATTTATCACATTATTATTTCTTATACATTAGTATTTCAACGTTCTGCTAAAAGCATACGTAAATAAGTTTAATGAGTCGCGCACAAGTAGATTGAAGTCTAAAAACTTGAAAATTAAAGAAAATTTCACATTCCTAATGTATTTAGTTTTATTTTAAAACCCCCAAGAAATCTTCAGAAACTATTGTCTACGTTTTGATTCTAGTACAGTGTAAAATTTGTACAAAATCTTCAAATTCTTTTGAAAAACTACGTACAAACAAGGAGTTTTGCATAGTTCATAACTTTTTCATCAACTCATGCCACTAGATGGCGCTATTTTGACAGTTGCCATTCCAATGTATGGAAACTGTCGAGAGCTACACGTATTAAACCGTAAGATTTTTTTTTTATAGTATTTGATGTATGGAGTGTAAAAGTAAGGAGCACCAACTCCCACAGTAGAATAGTTGAAAAAGTGGTCATCTGTAAGCAGTAAATAACAGTTCAAAAACTCTCCATATCAGCGCTGTAGTAGCTACTGGGATGAAATGAACTTAGCAGTTTCGACGGTTTGAAGTGTGCTGCTAAACTGCTCAGTAGCTCTAAAATCTAAAATAATTTTATTTAGTACTTAAATATAACCTCGAAAAAGTCGTCTATCCCAATAATATTTTTCGGTGTGTTCTTTAAAATTTACCCCGTAGCTATATAGTGACGCCACCTTATTTAAAGGTTTTTATGGACACTTTAACACACAGTCTGTACTCCTTACTTCTACACTCCTTAATTTGATGTAACCAAGTTTCAGTGAAACAGATTATATCATACTGATGACATCAGACCTTTCTGAAAAGCAAGTCAGTCTTATGTACGTAGAGCGCGTATGTTTTGATAGTAAATTTTAAAATTAGAACCGTTTTTTATACCGATGTAAAAATATATATGTCGTACATAGCTTAGAAAGAACTGTATTAAGGCCGAATACGATGCGATTGACCTTGCTCGTTTCGCAGCAAATCATGCGCCGTCTATCGAACATCACGTGTGTTACCCGTAGGCTTTCTTTATATAGACATGTATAATATAATCAAAGCCGTACGGGCTTTGTTTATATTATATTTGACTGAGCTAGCTCAGTATGCAGAGTAATGAACAACACAGACAGCATTGCTTACTTCTTAAATAAATCTTTCTTATTTATAATATTAGTTCCTATAGATCAGCGGTCCGCAACCTTTTTGATATTGCGACCCCAAAATTCAAAAAAGTTATGAGCGACCTTAGAAAAAAAAATCACTAAGTTAACAAGTGCAAAGGTTGGTTCAGGTAACGAAGTTAGCTGTTTTTATTTCGAAAATTATTTATATTGAAGAGTTTATTTATTTTGGAAAGTAATATTAGAGCAAACTAGAAAATATGCATTTAACATACGAGTAATATTTATGATGGCATTAAATGAGACAAACAATTATTTTAATATTTTATTTAAAAAAGAAGGTACATATACGTAACCTTAAAATCTAATGTGAACCTTGTGCTTGCACACTTGCAGTCAGTATATTAATTCTTGGTGATATATTATCAGAAACAGACACCCTCAAATCAGGTTCTCCGTTAAGTCTGGAGCGATATTTTGTTTTTATAGCAGTTAATGTGGAGAAAGCTGTCTCGCAAAGGTATGTAGATGCGAATGGCAGCAATTTCAGCAGAGATGTTTTGAATAACAGTGGATATTCCTTTTCCGTCATTATTCAGAACTTGGATAGATCTGTGGTTTTGAAAATAGATCGAAGGCTTTCATCGGACATTAAATCGATCAGCTGCTCCTTTTCTTTTAAGTTCATCTTCACAGTGTTAAGATCACAAGTGAATGGATTAATTATCCATTGGTCGCCGTGTGACGTATCTGGGAATCTTATTTCAAAGTCTTGCTTAAGGTTTGTAAGATGCATCATGATTTTGGTTATAATTTCTTCTTCGAGTTTTATATTGTTTTCTTCAGAAATTTTTTCCAAACATGCAAACATCTCGTAGTTTTCAGCACTGATTTCGTCTATCCACAAACTTATTTTCCTACAAAAAGCTTTTATTTTGTTAGCTAAAATCAATACATTTGTACTCTTCCCTTGCAACGATTGATTTAAATCGTTAAGTTTTTCAAAAATAACCGAAAGATAGCCAACTGTTGCCAACCAATTTTCATTCAAAAAATATTCCGCTAGCTTTGGTTCCCGTTCAAGAAGATATATTCTGATTTCATCTTTGAGATCAAATACACGTCGGAGTGTTTGGTTGCGCGGAAAACCATTTGTATTTATTTTATTTGACGGTAGGCTGCCAAATCGGTTATCCCTTTCCAAAACGATATCATTCGTACCCTCCTATCGACACATCGGAGTGGTGGGGTGGGAGGAGAAAGAAGATGATTCTAGAACATCACGTAATCATCGGAACCGAGGATATATAAGACACGCGCGACCGACGCGTGGCCTCTTCCCGCCGCGCTCGTTGTTGGAAACACATCTAGTAGAAACCGCTTTAGCCTGGAAGCAGTCGAGCTCCAGGAAACCCGCCTCACCTCGTGTGAGATATAGTCGCGCACCGCCTCTCTCCGGAGTGTTCCAGAAGTCGCAGTTATAGTGTTCGACCGCACAGAAGAAACATCCCGGTGAGTCAAAATTTTCCTAATAGTATTTTCCTGCTTGATATAGTAGTTTTAACCCGCTACAATTTTGTGTTTTCCTAATCAAGCAGGATTCCTTTCATCGATTTGGCATAATAGTTCGTTTTTTTGGGAAGAGCGAGCGCATTGTACCGCATATACAAATGTAGAAGCATTAGTAGATACAGTCCACTTAGATTAATAATTCGCGCAATAGGTTTAAGGTTCGACCGGGGAACTAGACTTCGGCAGCCTTAAACACGTGGCTCCACCAGTGTTTTTCCTCGAGATAACCACCTGACCTCCGTATGTAACAGTAGATTTTCGTATTCTGATCCCATTTCACGACGCATTATTTTGAAAAGGCGACTGTTTAATGCGCGAGCTTTAATAAAATTTATTATTGTAACGACTTGTTCCAACACTTTATTTACATCTGGTTGCAAATGTTTTGTTGCAAGGGCTTCATGGTGAATCATAGAGTTTTTTTTTTAAAAATTGTGGTTAGCTACATTAGCTACATCAGTGCTTTTATCCAGCTGAATAGCATAATAGGGGCTCCCTTTCACGCGATCTATAAGTTGTATTTTAATATCATCAGCAAGTAGATTGATACGACGATGAACAGTGTCACTTGATAGTGGAATTGTTTTCAGTAAATTGGCATACTTTTCTCCTTGCATGATCGAAACCATTTTCATTGCAGCTGGCAAAATGAGCGTCTCGCCAATCTTGTGAGGTTTTTTAGTTTTGGCAATCAAAAAGGAAACCTCGAAAGATGCTTGTAAGGCTTTTTGGTTAACTGTTGAGTATTTTTGGAAATCAACCTGCTGTGACTTTAGTTTGGTGGCAAGTCGTTTAAAATAAGATTCATCTTTATTTTTTAACTATGGATGCTTAGTTTCTAGGTGCCTTTTCAGTTTGGCCGGCTTCATGCTCTCATTTGTCAAAACCTCCGAACAAACAACGCACTGTGGACGTTGTTCAAAATTCAACACTGTACAATTAAAACCAAACTGGATGTACGATTCTTTAAAGATTCGTTGACGCTTCCCAGTTGTCTCCGATGTAGCTGTTGCTTGTTTATTTGAAGTTGAAGCGTCACTCTCTGTATCGATGTGTAAGGTAGATGTGGCTGTTGAACTACAATCATCGCTGTTATGACTAATAGTTATAGTAGTGGAACTAGATGTTTCTCTGCTTTCATCGATAGTAATAACGCTACTAGTACTTGAAGTGGTGGCATTGGTCTCACGACTTATATTACTCGTAACAGTAGTTGTCATTGAATCTGAGGCGACACTGCTGTCAAGAACTACGTGTTTAATTATTTTGATTTGTGATGCGTTATTAGGACTTCCGCCACCTGCATCTGTAGATGTGCGTTTTATCAGTCATTTATCCATTGTTAACTGCAATAATAAATACGTATTAATAAATAAAAAATGTATTCTAAACGATTAATATTAGGTTTTTCGTCATATGCTCGCGTGGTAACAGGATTTACTTCAAATTTATTTTCAACGAAGCACAAATAGACAAGCAAAAAAGTGGCCAAGTGCGAGTCGTACTCGCCCATGAAGGGTTCCGTGGTAGCAAGTAATGATATGACTGGATGTTAGTTGTAACTTTGTTTTTTATAGTGTTTGTATGAATGACAAACATGACTTGACGAAACTATATATATAACTATATATAGGGTTCCTTGTTTCTCAAACGGAATCCTAAAAATACACAAGTGAAGCGTAAAAAATATTTCGCGCTGGTTTTGTTATTGAACCCACGCGTCCAACATGACCGCGCTGCGATGACGCCTCACTTTATTTTCTAAGTATGAGTGCACAGTTACTTACCGTGTGCGTGGTTATCCACGAGAACACTAATCTTCTAAAAAAACTTTCTACAGAAGTAATCTTCCGTGTTTTGACATCAATTTAGTATGTATTTGCAATCGACAAAGCGGCAATGAGTACGCATTTGCGGATAGAACTGACTGAACAGACAGACTGAACGAAGAAAGAGCGATCGGGGTGGGGGGCGCGGGCGCGGGAGCGGTGAGGTTGTGACTCACACTTGCGTGTGGCTCCAACGATGATGTGTACAGCTGCCCATAGAACCGCTCAATCTCACTCAGAATCTCAGGAGTCCCAGAAACGATGCGGCCACACTCAATCTTCAGCTTTGACAGTTGGTTCTTACTGGCAGACAGATCTCTGGCAAAGACTTTGGAGCCCTAGTTGCGCTTAATCGCTTCTTCAATACGAGCTGTATTGAAGTTGCGTCCTGTATTGAAGTCTTGCCGCATGCATTTGGAGATGTTTGTTCAGTTGCCTGTATGCTGTCAAATCTGCTGACGACTGCCGCTTCATCGCCCGTCTAACATCCATGAGTATGATCGTAGAGATTTTGTGTTCTTCTGCGGCGGGTCTTGCAGAACTTAGCTCCGACCGCATGGACAGTTTCCACGAACTTGTCATTCATATCGTCCACTATATTGCAGTCTTCTAGGCACTGAAAACGGTTTTGTAATTCGAGCTGAAAGTTTTCGGGACCCTGGATTAGCGCACGAGGGGGACGGAGCGTTGACTTCACTAGACGAGACCTCTTCAACTTAACGTTTAAGTTCAGTGTGCCGCTAACCATTCGGTGATCGCTGCCAGTTTTCACCTTCGTGATCACTAAGACATCACTGAACAATTGGCGTCTGGTCGTCATAATGAAGTCAATCTCATTTTTTGTCGAACCGTCGGGGCTCGAACAGGTCCACTTCCTGTGGGGCCGCTTCTGGAAGAGAGTTCATCATAAAGAATCCCTCTTTCTCCATAAAGTCGGCCAGCTGCTGGCCCCTACGGTTCCGTTGCCCTACTTTAAATTTCCCTAACTTCAGCTCACCACTTTCTCTTGTGCCTATTTTTGCGATGAAGTCTCCCATCAACACCGTGTAGTGGGCTTTGGAGGAATGCATTGCTCTAGAAATATCCTCATACATTTCCTCCACCTCTTCATCGGGATGTGCCGAGGTTGGTGCGTAAACCTGTATAACCTTCAGGAAATACCGTTTGGTGATTCTGAGTATCAGGTACGCGACCCTCGTTGACACACCCAATATTTACAACGTTGTTGATGAGAGACTTGTGAACGATAAATCCGACACCTCCTTGGAACAGATGGTCGCCCTCCCGGTGATAGAACAAGTTGCCGGACTCGAGGATGACCGTGTCCTCCCCTTCTCTTCGGACCTCGGATAATTGAATAATATGCCAGCGCAAACTTGTCTACCTCTTTTTCCAACTCCAGTATCTTCTCGTCAGTCCTCAGGGTGCGTGCGTAATATGTTGCCAGGTCGAGTCGTCGTAGGTGGCAACCGAACCTCCACCGGAGATTCTTAGCACGCCTTACCCCGCCGTTACCATGGTCGCCACCGTAGCCAGGAACAGCGGGGCCGCTGGGGACTGGGGGCCGTTTGTTTGCGTCGTTACTCATGGAGGGATATTTGCCATAATTGCCACGCTTGGCGAGCGGGTTGGCAACCACAGTTTTTATTATATTATTATTATTAGGAAGATGCTGCTGCCCATCTTCTGCCTGTTTCCCTCTGTCGCCTTTTACAACACCCACGGGACGATATGGAGTAGTGGATATTCTCAACCGCCACTACACGGCAATATGTGTAGTTATGTTAAATAAATTATGAAGACCTTTCTAGGCAATATTCCGCTCAAGACTAAAACTGCTCGGGGCAATCGGAGCAACAAGACCAAGGCGACCCCTGCCACGCTGTCCATGAATTTCTGCAATATCAGGGGACTTCACTCTAACCTAAACGCCGTCCACTACCATCTCGAGACGGCGAGGCCGGCTCTGCTCTTTCTGACCGAGACGCAGGTGTCCTCTCCGGCTGATGTCTCGTATCTCTCCTGCCCGGGGTACAAACTGGAACACTCCTTTGTGCCTCGGGCTGGAGTTTGCGTTTACGTCAGAGAGGACATCTGTTCTCGACGCCTCGGCAGACTTGAAGGTTCGGACCTGTCCATCCTTTGGCTACGCGTAGACAGCGACGACCATCCGCGCATCTACGGGTGCCTCTATAGGTCCCATAGCGGTAATGCCGAAACAGACCGACTCTTCGACCACGTCCAAATGGCTGCAGATTCGTTGCTACAGCAGATCCCCTCCGCAGAGATCGTGATCCTCGGCGACTTTAACGCCCATCACGCCGAATGGCTCGGTTCACGTTTAACCGATCATGCGGGGAGATCTGTTCATGATTTTGCCTTGGCATATGGTCTGACACAACTGGTTACTTCGCCTACGCGGATTCCAGATGTGGAGGATCATGCACCTTCCCTGTTGGACCTTCTGCTG